AGTCATCTAAGATACTCCACTGGTCTCACCCCTTCGGGAGCAAGGGAGAATGAAGAAAACTAAACATACAAACAAAAGATCAGTCCAAAGGACTAATGGACCACAACTACCACGGCCTCTACCAGACTGAGTCCAGAACAACTAGATGGTGTCCGGCTACCACCACTGACTGCTCTGTCAGGGATCACAACAGAGGGTCCTGGACAGAACTGGAGAAAAATGCAGAACACAATTTTAACTCACAAAAATAGACCAGACTTACTGGCCTGACAGAGACTGGAGAAACCCCGAGAGTATGTCCCCCAGAAACCCTTTTAGCTCAGTAATGAAGTCACTCCTGAGGTTCACCCTTCAACCAAAGATTAGACAGGTCCATAAAACAAAATGAGACTAAAGGGACACACCAATCCAGGGGCAAGGACTAGAAGGCAGGAGGGGATAGGAAAACTGGTAATAGGGAACCCAAGGTCGAGAAGGGAGAGTGTTGACATATTGTGGGGTTGTTAACCAATGTCATAAAACATTATGTGTACTGTTTAATGTGAAGCTAGTTTGTTCTGTAAACCTTCACCTAAAGATTAAAAAAAAAGGCACCTTGCCAAAAACAAATAAACAACAAACCAAGAAGCCCCATAGTATGACTAAGTAGCACTTTTGCTTACTGCACTTAAAATTCATTCATTCATTCAACAAATATTTCTTAGGTTAACTCCCATGTGCAAATGACCCTCTCTGTCACCTCTAGGTAAAATCGTTTCGGCAATTAAATCTTACTCAATCAGACTTCCTACCACCATAATTTGGTCTGAGACACTAAGATGGGAGGATCTTCAATGTAGTGGAAGTAACTTAAAGACATACATAGCCTAATACTAATGTGATCACAAAACTAACAGAGACAACAGGAACACTGCATAAAGAAGGCTGTATGTGTTATGCAACAGTAACATTTCTAAAAAATGGAAAACTTAAATTCAAATCAGGAGATTTATTTTTATTTAATTAACACCACTGAAAACGTAAGCTCATGGAGGAAAAGCACAACAAAATCTTTTAGAAAAAGAGAATAAAAAGGGCCATCTAATTAGTAAAATCAATTTAAGAAACAATTAGCATCACTAAATCTCCTTTTTTCATTAGGAGACAAAATACTGACAAAATGTTCACCATACTTGCAATTTTCACACAGTAAGATGTTCCACTCTGCCACAAAAAGTAACCTCCAATATCTTGATAAGCTTTATTATACTATAGCACCAGGAGTGGCTTTAAGATCTTGGTATTTAGCTAGATTTAATGGCAAACAAATCAAAATTAAGATGATATTTAGCAAGCACTCTCCAAATGTTAACAGTCCTATACTAAATAACTAGTTACTAGGTAACGAGTATATTCTGCAGCCACTGCAGAAATATGAGGGTGCTGTAGTGAACGTCCCATTTATAGGAGAATGGCAGGCAGGTGCTCCAACTGATCATGCAGGTGACAACAGCTAAAACTCTTACATAATTTTTTTTTAAAAATAATAAATTCATTAAGAGCATGAGGTTAGTTACTAAATACCCAGAGGTAAAAAACTAAGCAGAAGCAAGGATGCAGAGAGGTAAGCAGAATAAAAATATCAGCTTTCTCCTTGAAGGCATTTACCAAACCACCAACCAGAATTTCAGTTTTCAGAGCCAAGCAGAAGTGTTGGGCAAAAGTACTTAGGAGCATCAAAGGTAGGGAGTTTAACACACAACACAAAACTGGGACCCCAAAGAATTATACCCACAGATGATGGATGAATCAGAAATTTTATTCTCTACTAGGGAAATCACAGGAATCCTCCATAAGCCAAACTTCATGCAATCCAAATTACTACAACCTGGGTGGCCTGTAAAAACTAAAGTTGAAAATTTACTTCCAAATGCTCTCAGAATACTACTTTCCCTAGGCACGTGGTAGGAACAAAAGAAAATTTTCTCTGAATGAACCCACTTTCAATCCCAGCATTAAAGAATCCCTACATATGAATTTCCAAGAACATAAACTCACATTAAACACATACACACATAAAAGATATGGCAACAAAATACAATGAGTGTGAGTCAACAGAAAAACAGCATAATCACATTCTCAAAATACTTTGTGTATTAGAATAATCAAAAACGAAATACAAAATAAGACTAAAGAGATAAAACAAATAAATGCAATACACGATCCTTCACTGGAGTCTTCACTGGCAGGAAAAAAACTATAAAGGATATTACCTGACAATTGAGATAAACTGAATATTAACTGTGTATTAAACAACTCATTGCTGTCAAGTCGATCCTGACTCACAGTAACCCTAAAGGACAGAGGAGAACTACCCCACAGGGCTTCCAAGGTGTGGCTGGTGGATTTGAACTGTTAACCTTTTGGTTAGCAGCCATAGCACACCACAGCTCTTAACCACTGCACCACCAGAGCCCCATTAAATAATTATTAAATAATATACCAATATTAAATTTTTGGGTGTAATAAATGTATTGTGGTTTTGCAGGAAAATGTCCTTATATTTACAGAATGGAGTATTATGTTGTCTGCTTCAAACGGTTCAGAAAAAAATTCACACATACACATACATGTACGTGTACGTGTGTGTGTATAAGGGGCCTGGAGGGAGCGAGCAAGAGAGAAATAAAGGAAATGTGGCAAAATGTTAGTAACTGGTTAACCTAGATATAGGGTAAATGGTATATAGATTATACTATTCTTCCCACTTTTCTGTCAGTTTTAAACTTTATAAAGAACTAAGATAGTGTCTTAATTATCTAGTGCTGCTGTAACAGAAAATACCACAAATGGATGGCTTTAACAAGCAGAAATTTATTTTCTAACAGTTTAAGAGGTCAGAAGTCCGAATTCAGGATGCCAGCTGAAGCGGAAGGCTTCCTCTCTCTGTCAGCTCCAGAGGCGAAGTCTTTGTCTCTTTTAGCTTTGAAACCTGGGTGATCTTCATGTGACCTGGCATCTCTCTTCCTCAATCTCTCCTTCTCCGCTTGCTTGTTTAATCTCTTTTATATCTCAAAAGAGACTGACTCGACACATCCTGCTCTAATGCTGTCTCATTAACACAACAAAGACAATCCATTCCCAAATGGATTATAACCACAGGCATAGAGGCTGGGATTTAAAACACATATTTTGGGGCACATACTTCAATCCATGTGGAGCCCTGGTGGCAAACTGGTTAAGAGTTTCGCTGCTAATCAAAAGGGTTGGCAGCTCAAATCCACCAGCCCCTCCTTGGAAACCTTATGGGGCAGTTCTACTCTGTCCTATAGGGTTGCTATGAGTTGGAATCGACTCGACAGCACACAACAATCCAATCCGTAACAGATGGGAACTGTCTTATGTATCATAAGATGTGCATCCGAGGCCCTGGCCTCTAACCAAAAGATGCCAGGTGCACTGTGGGAGCAGTGCTGGGGAGCACTTGCGAGGGAGCAGCTGTGACAACCAAAGCTGCCTGCAGACATTACTGAATGTCCCCTGGGAGGCAAAATCACCCCAAATGAAAACCTCTGTTCTAGAGTAACCTCTAAAATAATAAGCTGCTAAGACTGAACACTTGCTCCCTCACCAATCCCACTAAATAACCATAAAGACGTATGCTCAAGAAGACATAAACCCCCAAGAACAGGGAGAAGAGAAGAAACAGGAGTCACAAAACTCTGGAAGCTGAAAAGCGCATAGACAAATAACTGAATTATGAGACTGAAGAAAGCAGAATCTAAACAGCAAGGTGGGGTGAGGGATGGAGGTGCTGCAGAGCTGAAACCCAACAAGTTGACACAGCAGAATCCTCAAATGGCTCAAGAAATGACAGTATTAGGTACCTCTGGGGCGAAGGCAGAAGCACTAAAATAGGCACTAAAACCTCCAGAATCCTCTTCTTCCTGCGCTGGGTGTGCGCCCCTCCCTTTCCCTAGAGGAAGCACAGGGATTTATTTTTTTGAAGTAGAAAAAACAAAGATTTCAGGTTAGGAGATAACAGGCACAACTGGGACGTGGGCACCAAATAGAAAGAGAGGAAATTAAGGGACAACATGCACACTGAATGCTGACTACCAAGACCCTGGGAGCTCGTCCTTTCCAGGCAAAGGATCATACAATTTCTAGAGAGAATCCCAGCAGCCCTGGTGGTGCACTGGCTAAGCACTTGGCTGTTAACCGAAAGGTCGGCAGTTCGAACCCACAAGCCGCTCCAAGGGAGAAAGATGTGGCAGTCTGCTTCCATAAAGATTACAGACTTGGAAACCCCGTGGGGCAGTTCTACTCTGTCTTACAGGGTCACTGTGAGTCGGAATCCACTTAACGGCAGCAGGTTTATGGAGACTCTGACAGTCCAAAAGGAAAGATCTAAAGTTTCTAACATTCCTCATCAAGTAGCTGATCCAGATGCCCATAAAGTTCAAAATGCCTTGCAATTGTGAGAGAAAATAATTTCAACCTAGAATTCTATACCCAGGCAAACTATCAATTAAATATGAGAGCAGAATACAGGCATTTTCACACACACATCTCGATTTTATCTCCCATGCACAACCTTTCTCAAGAAGCTAGTGGAGTATGTGCTTCAGACATTTTGGAAATATCTATTTTTGTACAATTTGTGCAGAGACTAGTAGTATAAGCTGAGGCTCTGACAGACAAATCACATTCATCTATTGACTGAAATAGAAGCTAAGAAACATGTTGTTAACATCTCCTGTGTGTACTGAAAAATTTAATTCCTTTAAACTAGTCTACAGTTTAGCCCTTTCCCTAATTCTCTCAAATTATAAGATTCTACTTTATTATTAATGATCCACAGAATGGTTTATTTTCAGATCTTTCTAGACCTATAATCCAAATAAAATTTTTCTATCATTTTTCTTACTATAGTTATCCATGAACAATTTCTCTATTTTGGCTCTCATTCTTGAACACTAAAAGTTACCAGTTACCACCAAACCAAAACTATAAATAATCAACTGTAAAATAGGACAAGTAAGGGGGTTATTAACTACAAAAAGCTTTTAGCTTCTGATAAACACAGGATGTGTTACCTGATATTTCCAGCTCTTACCTAACTGGATATCTGCTTTTATTGTACAAGCTAGCTACTCTCTACAAGAGCAGGGTGTCCTATACAGATGCAGGGTCCCCAGGCTACCAAACAGCAGGATTTCACTTCTTTGTATCAATCCTATCCAAGCTTCTCCTGTATATCCAAAGGGTCCCAAGACATCTCTCCAGATCATTGAGACATGGCCAGTACAACTGCACTGTCCTCTCCAAGAGTACGGGGAAAGGTGAAACTGGAGGTGGGGGTGAGAACAGTATGAAGACTTGTTTAAAAAAATGATTTTAAAGTGAACCATCAGACTTACAGACTGATCTAACTGTAACAAAGCATATTATAATTATTTCCCTTACATATAAATAAAAAGTGTTCTTGTACCTCTGGCCAAAGAAAGAGGAAAACTGAGAAGTAGTTTGGTAGTCATATCAAACCAATGGAGAAAAGTTTCTCTTTTAATCATTTCAATGGTTTTGTTTCTATTTGTTTGGCTAGGTCTCATCATTTATTTTCTTTCTTTTTCTAAAAAATGTCACTGCCTGTACAATGATAACTGAAGTAGAAACTTCCAACACTTAAGGGAAAGCACTGGCACTAACCCACTTTAATCAAGTTAACTCCCAAACCAGTAAGCATACTACAAGGTTAGCTACTATGCACTAGCTAGAAGTTAGAAGGTAATGAGCACTGATATAAAGAAAGCTTGGAAAGAATATTTAGTATCTTAGAGATGTCAAACATTCTACCATGCTGATACTAAGAAACAGATCTATTCACTTCTTTTGTTTTTAAATAACAAAATGAGGAAGTTTGGTAACTGTGACTGGTTGATTCCTTAATTATTCATACCTCTTGATCTCCAGAACTTTGGAAGTCTCCTTTGCTTATGCTTGCATCCCGAGTCCAACGAGGTGGTTTCCAAGTTCTTTCCTGTGTTCCTCTGTTATAGTAATAACAACGCCCTGAAATGTCTTTATGAGTTTCCCATTCTCCATTAATCTGAACTGCTGGGCTTCCAGGAAGCGGGGGAACAGCAGACTGGGATATCTTCAGTTCCTGTAGATTAGCATAAACGGGAGAATCTGGCCTTCCTTGATTTGGCGGTGTACTTGCCTGTGGAACAAAAATTTTAAATATTCAAGTTTAAACTGACATTAACATTTACAAATTAAAACTAAATGAAACACAAGGTTTATAAACATGACTACTAATTCATTTTAAAACACACATACAGATGTATTCTCAGGAAATAATAATTCAATAGTTTTAATATTCATAGTCTGATTGGGGAAAAAAAAACCCAGCTTCCATTAGAATCCAAAGTGTGCTTAATACTTGCCTTTACTCTGAAAGAATATCTGACTAGAAGTCAGGAGCTCTGGGTTCGAGTTCTAGATGTGGCACTAACAACTTGTATGATATTGGCTAAGAACACCTCAACCTCACCTCTCTGAAACTCAACTCTCTAATTTCTTTAAATGATAGAATTAGACTAAATCACCAAGGTCTGCTTTGGCTCTAAAATTCCATGATTTTTGGCAATTTTTTAAAATGGAAAAAGTCTTGAATGTGGATAGATCATCAGTTATTCAGAAAGCTATCAAAAGAAAGATTTTTATATCCTAAGTTCTAATACTAAAATCATGAATATAAATCAAACATAAAAGCTTAACAATACTTAAGCTAAGAATTTACTACATTCTATTACTTCTCAGTTACAATTTCTCAGTAGCCATAAACTAATCTTTTCCTAGTTTCCTTATCTGCAAACTCTCTTAAGAGTAGAAAAGTAAGTATTAGCAGTAACTCTCTGATTTACATGCTTAATCTTAACCTACAGCTTTACTTTTTATTTTTAAATGTCTCACTAGATGTCAGTCAAGAGCAGAATACTCTTCATACACTTTGCATAAGGACAGTTACACAGAAATCTAGTTGCTAGAGAAAAAAGCACATGAGTGAGGACACTTTTTGTACTGTATTCGTATATATCTCTTATCTTTTATAACAAGGTTTCTCAGCCTTGGCACTAGTGACATTTTAGGACACACAATTCTTTGGGGGGAGGGGGGGGACTACCCTGTGCATTAGGATGTTTAGCAGCATCCTTGGCCTCTACTACCTACTAGTTCCTAGCAGCACGCCCTCTCTCCCAGTACCTCCTAATCTCCCCACCTCAGTGTGACAAGCAACAAGTCTCCACACATCACTGTCAAATGTCCCCAGGGACAAAAACTGCCCCCAGTTAAGAACCACTTGCCTTACCTTATAAATAAATGCCAGTTATATTCAGACGTTCAATTACTGCTGTAATGTACCTAGACTTTCAGAAATACCTAGAAATACTGAAGTAAAAAAGGGAAGTGTGGATGGATACACTGAATAACCTTTATTAAAATTAAAGTACTTTAACTTCTAAAAACAGTATTTGCCTATAAAATAACTTGAATGAGTCTAAATCACAGAATAAGTTTAAAAAGAGAAAACAGTAAAAATAACCCAAAACATGAACATATGCGTGTAAAATGGTTACCTTTGGTCTTTTTATAAACAGCAGTTCTGCAAGGAACGCACTCAATGATGCAAATTCGACTGTTTGGCTAAAAATGTTAGCTTTGTATTTAGACTACCACCAAACAACAGCTTTCTATGTAGAAAATCTACCCATAAAGATAAACTTCCATTTATCTCTATTATAAAATTCACCACATACTGGCGAATTAGTCATGCTTCTCAAAAATGAATTAATATCACAAGCAATTCTATATAGTAAATAGTTTCTCAGAACCTTATCCAGAGAATATCTATTCAACCAGTATTGAAGAAGTTTCTACTATGCTCCAGATACTTTACTAGAATTTGGTGATATAAAGATGACCAAATGATGTTTATGGACAAATTCTATTAAATCTTTAAGAAACAAATAATTCCTGCTGTTTAAACTGTTCAAATTTAAACTGTTTTTCCAACTGAAAAAAAAAAACAAAACTGAAATGCTTCAACATAGTCTATAAGGCTAGCACAATTTTGAAACAAAAGCAGAGACGAATTAAATGAAAGCACTATAAATCAATCTCATTTATAAATTTAGATGGAAAAAAATTCTAAATAAAACATTAGCAATCAAATCCAGCACTACATTAAATAAATCAGGAAGAAGTACAAATGTAAAGAAAGTCTGCCAATAGGAAATCTCATACTGCAACTGTTTAAATTAACAGATTAACGTGATCATCTCCACAGTGACCAAAAAAGCATTTGATAAAATTCAACGCAGATTCGGGATAAACCCTTTAGCAAGTCAGTAATAGGTGAGGCTTCATTAATTTAGTATTTTTTAATTATAAGTATTTAAAATAAACATCATACTTAATACACATAAGAAGCACTTTCACCAAAGTCAATAATAAAACTAGGATACCAAGTAACACTGCTTCTATTCAACACTGTTCTGGACGTTCTAACCGATATACTAAGAGACGACAAATGAAGTAAACTCAAAAAGCTAGGGGGAAGAACAACTGTCATTTGTAACTGACATAACTATTATCCATGAAAACTAGTAAGATAGTTTGTAGTAAGTTGGTCAGATATATGATCATCTAATCATAAGAACTGATGGTTTGAATTATGGTGCTGGTGAAGAATACTGAACCTACCACAGACTGCCAAAAGAACAAACAAATCTGTCTTGAAGAAGTACAGCCAGAATGCTCCTTAGAAGAGAGGATGGTGAGACTTCGTCTCAAGTACTTTGGACATGGTATCAGGAGGGATCAGTCCCTGGAGAAGGACATCACGCTTCATAAAGTAGAGGGTCAGCAAAAAAGAGGAAGACCCTCAATGAAATGGACTGACAACGTGGCTGCGACAACGGACTCAAACATAGCAACGACTGTGAGGATGGTGCAAGACCAGGCAGTGTTTCATTCTTTTCTACGCAGAGTCGCTATGAGTCAGAACTGACTCAATGACACCTAACAAAAAACAACAAATCAGTTTCCTATACATGGGCAATGACAAATTGGAAAATGTAACGGAATGAAAAACCTCATTCACAATAGGAAAAGAACTGTTAAACATTTACAAATAAGCCTTAGAAGAAATACACAAAACCAAAAGAAGAATGCTTAAAAAGATTACTCAGGTACCTAAATAGACACTTGAATAGATAAACCTTTGCTCCTGAATAGAAAAATCTGATTTTGCAAAAGATGTCAATTCTCCAAAAATTAACCTGTAAATTCAATGCAGTGTTCAGCGTGTAGCATAGTTAGTACTCTGCCGAGCACACGGTAGCACTTTATGAAATTTGTTGAAGGAATGAATGAACGAACATATGAACACAAGAGTGCAAACACATATGCCCAAGTAAAAGCAAAATCCGAGGACCTACAACTGGTTAGATGTAATAAAGAAGAAGGAAACTGGAAAAACTCCCAGGTTCTAGTTTGGGCAAAGGGATGGATAGTCTTGTCATCACTTACTAGAAACTGTCCAAAAATGAAATGAGTGGCAAATACCCAACTAGGAGCTAAGGTTATATACATCTGAATAAAAAAAAAATGTCTTCTAGAACCTCATACTACAGTGAGGAAAGTGAAACAAACATTATTTTAACACATAAGAAATAAAATGCTACAGGTATACATAGTATACCATAGGAGCAGAAAGGAAGAGACCTAGAAACAAATGGACTGAGCCTTAGAAATGAATAAGTAAGAGTTTAGTCAGGCAAAAGTCAGGAAGACAGGAGGCAGCAAGAACAGATGTTAGGAAATAGCATAATATGGACCGTAGAACATGTAAAACAAGCAGCAAGAGAGAGTGAGATCTAAGGAGAAGCAAGAGACAGAACAAAGAAAAGCTTTGTTAAGCCCTGTTTAAAGGCCTGGACATTATCCAGTAGCAATCAGGGAACTACTGCAGAGCTGAAGCAAGGAAGTACATTCTGATTCAAATTTTAGGAATATTTCGGGTTTTAGAGGGATGCAACTAGACACAGAAATCAGTCAGGAGGTTGGTACAATAGCAGTTGGAAGATGGAGAGCAAAAATAGGATAATGATAGTAGGAATGGAGAAGCACGGCCAGACTGAAGAAGTAATCAGAAGGTTAAATTACAGATTATGTTTGTTTATGTGAAGCATAGCTTGGTGGTGGTGGTTGTTCTTTACTTACTCATTTTTCACTATCGGTTAAATAGTGTCAACATGAAGAACAGGATGGAAAGAAAGGTACAAAGAAGAGTTCCATTTCGGATGTATTAGGTTGATGTGCCTTTCAAAAATCCAGGTGGAAATGCCCATAAACTGTTGGATATACAGCTAAGGAACTCAGTACAGAAAACAGGACTAAAAACATAAATGTAAAAGTTATCAGCATATAAGTCAGGTCGATAACTTAAGAGAGAATACAGAATGACAGGAGGAAGAAAATGGAACCCTGGAGAACACTAAACAGTTGCTTTATGAATTAAAATGAGAATATATGGTCCCTGGGTGGCATAAATGTTTAAGCACTGGACTACTAACTGAAAGGTTGGCAGTTCAAACCCACCCAGGAGCACCTCAGAAGCCACGCTAGAGAATACAAGTATAAAGGTAGTACAGAGTCTGGCATGGCAGCTTCTAGTATTATAATAACAACTATTATTACTGTTGTTGCAATTAATGTAATTAAGGAATCAGACAAAGAAAGAAGATCCAGTAAAGAAAACAGAAAGGAAAGGTCAGAAGTAGGTCTACAGGAGAAGGTGGTATTTGAGAGTCAAGGAGAAAGAAAACTTCTAAACAATGGGAACTCAGGTATCAAATACATTTACACCAATATTCACTGCAGTGTTGTTCACAACAGCTAAAAGTGGAAACAACTGTCCACCAACGGATGACTGGAAAAACAAAATGTGGTTCATACGTACAATGGAAGACTACTCGGCCAGTAAAAGAAACGAAGTCTTGATACGTGCTACAGTATGGATGAAGCCTGAAGACATTATGAGTGAAGTAAGTCAATCACAAAAAGACAAATACTGTATGGCCTCACTTGTATAAAAAGACAAGAAAAGGCAAATGTATAGAGCCCAAAGTTTATTAGCAGTTACCAGGGACAGGAGGAAGGGGGAGAGGATGAAAGAGGTGGTTACTGCTTATAGGGTACTGAGTTTCAGTTTAGTGACGGGAAAATCATATTGATTAAGGGTAGGGTTGCTCAGCCAATAATTTTAAGTGCTATCAATAAGTTGTGCACCTATGAAAAGTTAAATTAGCAAAAGCTGTGTGACAGACATATTTATAACAATTAAAAAAGAGAGAGAGAGTAGCTGCTGATGCTGCTTCCGTACAACCAAACACCTCACAGGATTTGGTTGGAGGTTTAGGATCATGGTTTCATGGGACATCCCAGTTAACTGACCTAATAACGCATTTAGTGCTTCTGTTTTACCTGTACCCTTAGTTCACTGCATAGTGCCTGGGGTCTTAAAAGCTTGCAAGCAGCCATCCAAAGCACAACTGGTCTCTATTCATCTGGAGCAACAGAGGAAGGCAAGTCAGGCACAGGAGGAGGAAACGGAATGTGTGCTAACCGCCTCCATGGACGTCTGCCTCTTTTGCCATGAGACCAGAAGAACTGGATGGTGCCCGGCTACCATTACTGAACATTTTGATGAAAGATTCCATAGAAGAACCCACAGAACAGAATTTCAAATTCTCATGGACTCTCACTTTCTGGAGCCATGGATGCTGGATGAAACCCCTGAAACTACTGCCCCAGGAAAATCTTTAAAACTTAAATCAAAAACGTTCCCTGAAGTCTTCTTAAAACCAAACAACAGTTTAGTTTAACTAGTAAAAAAAAAAAAAAAAAATCTGCCTTGAGCATTATGCTCTTTTAAGAACTATCTATATGGGATCAAACTGACAACAGCAATTTGAAAGATTAGATAGGAAACTCAGGGGGCAGTGAGTTTATGTTAATGAGGAAGAACTTTAGAAAATGGGGGTGAGAATCGCTTCACAACTTAAAAACTGTAATCAATGTCACTGAATTGTACGTGCAGAAACTGTTTAATTGGTGTATGATTTGCTGTGTATATTCTCAACAACAAAATAAAATTTTTTTAAAAAAGGTGTCAAACATGAAGACTTCAATATAAGGGCTGTGAAACAATTACTAGATCAGCAAATAAGATGTTAAAAAGATTGTAGCCTCCAGCCATGAAAGAGTAACCAAAACCAAACCCACCGCTGTGGAGTTGATTCTGACACACAGCGACCCTACAGGACAGAGTGGAACTGCCCCATACGGTTTCCAAGGAGCAGCTGGTAGATTCCAACTGCCGACCT